CCCGTAGCCTCACCTGGTGCTGAGACATCTTAAAGGTGAACCCATAGCCTCACCTGGTGCTGAGGCATCTTAAAGGTGAACCCGTAGCCTCACCTGGTGCTGAGACATCTTAAAGGTGAACCCATAGCCTCACCTGGTGCTGAGACATCTTAAAGGTGAACCCATAGCCTCACCTGGTGCTGAGGCATCTTAAAGGTGAACCCATAGCCTCACCTGGTGCTGAGGCATCTTAAAGGTGAACCCATAGCCTCACCTGGTGCTGAGGCATCTTAAAGGTGAACCCGTAGCCTCACCTGGTGCTGAGACATCTTAAAGGTGAACCCATAGCCTCACCTGGTGCTGAGGCATCTTAAAGGTGAACCCGTAGCCTCACCTGGTGCTGAGACATCTTAAAGGTGAACCCATAGCCTCACCTTGATTTGAATTGTATGGTCATGATTTATGTATATGAAACACTCGCTTATATTCTCATATATAATAGTATGATATATAAACATATATATATATATATATATATATATATATATATATATATATATATATATATATATATATATATATATATATATATATATATAAGTACTAAATTTTATATTCGTTTCTCTCACACAATAAAAGCATAAAAGGTAACTTTGCAGTAAAGTAGCTGGAGCCACAAACTTTATGGTCAGCAATTCAAGTGATAACCAGTATGTCACATTTGGTCATCAGGAATGTGGTCATGTTTTGTACATTAGTTGTATCGACGGCCGTCAGGGGGCTACAAGAGCACTTGAGTTTATACAACAACTATACAGGTGTATACAGGCGGGACCAAAGAGCCAGAGCTCAACCCTCGCAAGCACCACTAGGTGAGTACATCTCACATTCACCCAACATTCAAGGAAATACAAAAGGTACCACAATTATAGCAAAATATTCGGCTATTTATATTAGAAACTTTATAATTAATTAATCTTATTGAAATTGTGTTGATAACTTGTAAGTTGTGTTGATAACTTGTTGATAACTTGTTTTATTGACAAGTTGTGTTGACGTAATGAGTGGACAAGCCGCCGCTGCGTAGCCTGCCACACCCGCTCCTCAAAACACTCGCCCAACGTGGGGCTCGAACCCACGACCCCGAGATTAAGAGTCTCGTGCTCTACCGACTGAGCTAGCCGGGCTTGGCGTGTGAGGTAATGGTTGGTCTATATGAAACACTTGTGGGATGGCGCTGTATTAACTGTACTTTGTTCCTGTACTATGGTCTGGGGCCCAGTTATAACAAATAAATAAAATAAAATAAAATTTTTATTCAAGTAAGGTACATACATACATACAAGAGATTTTACATAAATTGATAGATTTATATATAGAGGTAGTACATACAATGCCTAAAGCCATGTTCATATCTCTAAACATATTTTCGTAAATATTCTGGCACGTGTTCCATTCGTAAGTTTGAATGTTCGAATATATCGGGCTGGGCACTCGCATATATTCTGATATATAATAGTATAGCTATACCGTTGTCGGGCTCATGAAGGCTCGTAGGATTATCAAAGTCCACTGGAGAATCTGTCCTCAGGATCACCCATCCAACTGCTAACGAGGTCCAACGGTGATTAACCTAACAGACCAATTAACACGCATATCAAAGTTCCTGACTCACGCTCGGGAATCCCAAGAGGAACAGAAACGGTTGGGCGCGTTTCTAATCATCTAATGCACCTGTTCACCCAGCGGTAAATAGGGACACACGAGTTAATCAGCTTATTGTGGGGTTGCATCGGAGGGGGAGGGGGCAGTAATTCGACCCCGGGAGGGATGTCGATATAAGCCTAACATGTACTCACCTAGTTGTGCTTGCGGTGGTTGAGCTCTGGTTCTTTGGTCCCGCCTCTCAACTGTCAATCAACTGGTGTACAGGTTCCTGAGCCTATTGGGCTCTATCATGTCTACACTTGAAGCTGTGTATGGAGTCAGCCTCCACCACATTACTGCCATTTGTTAACTACTCTGACACTTGACAAAATTATTTCTAATATATCTGTGGCTCATTTGGGTACTAATTTTCTGCCTGTGTCCCCTTGTTCGTGTTCCACCCATGCTAAATAGTTTGTCTTTGTCCATCCTGTCAGTTCCTCGTGAGAATTTTGTAGGTGGTGATCATATCTCCACTAAGTCTTCTGTCTTCCAGGGACCTGAGGTTTAGCTTCCCTAGCCTTCCCTCGGAGCTCATACCTCTCACTTCTGGGACTAGTCTGGTGGCATACCTTTGAATATTCTCTAACTTTGTCTTGTGTTTAACTAGGTATGGACTCCAGGCTGGAGTTGCATATTCCAGGATTGGTCTGACATAAGTGGGATATAAGGTCTTGAACGATTCCTTTCACAAGTTTCTAAAGGCAGTACTTATGTTGGTCAATCTAGCATATGCCGCTGATGATATCCTTTTGATGTGGGCCTCTGGGGACAGGTTCGGTGTGATATCAACCCCGCAGATCTTTCTCTCTATTTGACTCTTGCAGGATTTCACCTCCCAGATGGTACCTTGTGTTCAGCCTCCTGCTCCTTCGCCTAATTTCATTAATTTACACTTTCCCGAGTTGAACTTTAGTAGCCATTTTCTAGACTATTCCTCCAGCCTGACCAGGTCGTCCTGTAGTCTCTGTCTATCTTCATCTGTCTTGATTCTTCTCATAATTTTCATGTATTGACGTAATGGACAATTTATTTTATAGTGTCCGGACAAAATAAAGCTAAAACCCAAGCTTAAATATTCCCAGGCCTATTATAGCACATATATGTACTATACTAGGGACCCGGCGTTACCCGGGTCTGTCATCTGTCTCCCATCTGTCTATCAGTCTATTCATCCATCTAGATTTATCTATCCATCTATTTCTCCATCTATCTACCTATTCAAGTATCTATCCATTTATCCATCCATCTATCCATTCATCTATCGATCCATCTATTCATTCATCTATCGATCCATTTATCTATCCACCAATCCGATCCATCTCTCTCTCTCTCTCTCTCTCTCTCTCTCTCTGTCTCTCTCTCTCTCTCTGTCTCTCTCTCTGTCTCTCTCTCTCTCTCTCTCTCTCTCTCTCTCTCTCTCTCTCTCTCTCTCTCTCTCTCTCTCTCTCTCTCTCTCTCTCTCTCTCTCTCTCTCTCTCTCTCTCTCTCTCTCTCTCTCCCTCTCTCCCTCCCTCTCTCCCTCTCTCTCTCTCCCTCTCTCTCTCCCTCTCTCTCTCCCTCTCTCCCTCCCTCTCTCCCTCTCTCTCTCTCCTCCCTCTCTCTCTCCCTCTCTCTCTCTCTCTCTCTCTCTCTCCCTCTCTCCCTCCCTCTCTCCCTCTCTCTCTCTCCCTCTCTCTCTCCCTCTCTCTCTCTCTCTCTCTCTCTCTCTCTCTCTCTCTCTCTCTCTCTCTCTCTCTCTCTCTCTCTCTCTCTCTCTCTCTCTCTCTCTCTCTCTCTCTCTCTCTCTCTCTCTCTCTCTCTCACACACAGAGTGGCACCACTTTAAACCGACTCTATACACTGAACCTTAAGCTGCTATTCAACAGCTCATTGCCCCATCTTGGCCGTAACATTACCCCGTCATGGTGACAGTATTACCTCAGGTCTGGGAGAGCCAGTCTAATGTCCCAGTTTAAGCCACAGTTTAGGAGAGGTTCACAGTCAGCTTCCAGGAAGGTTAACAACCCACAGAGAGGAACTTTAGCAGGGAGGTATTTCCTCCCATCAAGAGAGCTACTGAGGTAGCCAGCATCACCAGGACTACTCACACACACACTCACTGACTGGTGATGTTTGCAGGCAAGAACGTGTTGCCAGTACACCAGCCGGCAACCTGTATGTCAACTGGTTCAGTACATTTGCTGTCAACCTTGTCAAAGTGAAAAATTTAAATTCATATTATATATAGTGTTGTAGCTGATGATATTATATTGCTGGGTCGTACTCAGGTTAACCAGTACACAGTAGTGCACAGTCACCAGTGCACAGTGTCACCAGTACACAGTACACAGTCACCACTCCTCATGCTCCACAATACATTGTTCACTAAAGTGTAGGCAACATTAGGCCTCGTGTGATAAGAAAATATTAAGGGGACAATAAATAATTAATAAAGGATATTTTGTTTTGTATATTTATTAATTTAATTGTAAATTACTCACTGTTTTCCAGCAGTGAAAGGCAGTAATCATGTTTATAAAGATCAAAGCTGTTCTGTTGAGAAGACAAGGCAGGCGGCTAACCACGTGTCCACACCTGGCCCTCACACAACCATACCTTACACACCTGGTGTGTGTGTACATCACGGTCTGGTGTTACACACACCTGGTGTGTGTATACACTACGGTCTGGTGTTACACACACCTGGTGTGTGTATACACTACGGTCTGGTGTTACACACACCTGGTGTGTGTATACACTACGGTCTGGTGTTACACACACCTGGTGTGTGTATACACTACGGTCTGGTGTTACACACACCTGCTATGGATCCATCATTGGATCCACCAATTCAAAAATATTGGAAAATATTATGGACAACTTTATATCAAAGGCAAGGAAGGAAATTAAATCCTGAAATCCGGCGCGGGATTTAGAAGAGTGGCAGATGTGTCGCTAATTGATGCCCGGTCAACGTCCAGGGTCGTCCAGAAGTGTGGGGTGATGCCCGGCCAACGTCCAGGGTCGTCCAGAAGTGTGGGGTGATGCCCGGTCAACGTCCAGGGTCGTCCAGAAGTGTGGGGTGATGCCCCGGCCAACGTCCAGGGTCGTCCAGAAGTGTGGGGTGATGCCCGGTCAACGTCCAGGGTCGTCCAGAAGTGTGGGGTGATGCCCGGCCAACGTCCAGGGTCGTCCAGAAGTGTGGGGTGATGCCCGGTCAACGTCCAGGGTCGTCCAGAAGTGTGGGGTGATGCCCGGCCAACGTCCAGGGTCGTCCAGAAGTGTGGGGTGATGCCTGGCCAGCGTCCAGGGTCGTCCAGAGGTGCGGGGTGATGCCTGGCCAGCGTCCAGGGTCGTCCAGAGATGTGGGTGATGCCTGGCCAGCGTCCAGGGTCGTCCAGAGGGACAGAAAGCCCACCCTCAGAGCCCACCCTCAGAGTTCACCCCTCAAACCACACCCTCAGAGCCCACCCTCAGAGCCCACCCCTCAGAGCCCACTCTCAGAGCCCACCCTCAGAGCCCACCCCTCAGAGCCCACCCCACAGACCCCACCCTCAGAGCCCACCCTCAGAGCCCACCCCTCAGAGCCCACCCCACAGACCCCACCCTCAGAGCCCACCCTCAGAGCCCACCCTCAGACCACACCCCTCAGAGCCCACCCTCAGAGCCCACCCCTCAGAGCCCACCCTCAGAGCCCACCCTCAGAGCCAACCCCACAGACCCCACCCTCAGAGCCCACCCTCAGAGCCTACCCTCAGACCCCCACCCTCAGAGCCCACCCTCAGAGCCCACCCTCAGACCACACCCTCAGACCACACCCTCAGAGCCCACCCTCAGAGCCCACCCCTCAGAGCCCACCCTCAGAGCCCACCCCACAGACCCCTACCTCAGAGCCCACCCTCAGAGCCCACCCCACAGACCCCTACCTCAGAGCCCACCCTCAGAGCCCACCCCATCCTCAGAGCCCACCTCACAGAGCCCACCCTCAGAGCCCACCCTCAGACCACACCCTCAGAGCCCACCCTCAGAGCCCCACCCTCAGAGCCCACCCTCAGACCCCACCCTCAGACCCCACCCTCAAAGCCCACCCTCAGAGCCCACCCTCAGCGCCCACCCTCAGAGCCCACCCTCAGAGCCCCACCCCTCAGACCCCACCCTCAGACCCCACCCTCAGACCCCACCCTCAGACCCCACCCTCAAAGCCCACCCTCAGAGCCCACCCTCAGAGCCCACCCTCAGCCCCCACCCTCAGAGCACACCTCAGAGCCCCACCCTCAGAGCCCACCCTCAGAGCCCCACCCTCAGAGCCCCACCCTCAGAGCCCACCCTCAGAGCCCCACCCTCAGAACCCACCCTCAGAGCCCACCCTCAGAGCCCCACCCTCAGAGTCTACCCTCAGAGCACACCCTCAGAGCCCCACCCTCAGAGCCCCACCCTCAGAGCCCCACCCTCAGAGCCCCACCCTCAGAGCCCCACCCTCAGACCCCACCCTCAGAGCCCACCCTCAGAGCCCACCCTTTGAGCCCCACCCTCGGAGCCCCACCCTCAGAGCCCCACCCTCGGAGCCCCACCCTCAGAACCCACCCTCAGAGCCCACCCTCAGACCCCACCCTCAGAGCCCACCCTCAGAGCCCACCCTCAGACCCCACCCTCAGAGCCCACCCTCAGACCCCACCCTCAGAGCCCACCCTCAGAGCCCACCCTCAGAGCCCACCCTCAGAGCCTACCCTCAGAGCCCACCCTCTGACCCCACCCTCAGAGCCCACCCTCAGAGCCCAGCCTCAGAGCCCACCCTCAGAGCCCACCCTCAGAGCCCACCCTCAGAGCCCACCCTCTGACCCCACCCTCAGAGCCCACCCTCAGAGCCCACCCTCAGAGCCCACCCTCAGACCCTACCCTCAGAGCCCACCCTCAGAGCCCACCCTCAGAGCCTACCCTCAGAGCCTACCCTCAGAGCCCACCCTCAGAGCCCACCCTCAAAGCCCACCCTCAGAGCCCACCCTCAGAGCCTACCCTCAGCGCCCACCCTCAGAGCCCACCCTCAGAGCCTACCCTCAGACCCCACCCTCAGAGCCCACCCTCAGAGCCCACCCTCAGACCCCACCCTCAGAGCCCACCCTCAGAGCCCACCCTCAGAGCCTACCCTCAGAGCCTACCCTCAGAGCCTACCCTCAGAGCCTACCCTCAGACCCCACCCTCAGAGCCCACCCTCAGAGCCTACCCTCAGAGCCCTCCCTCAGAGCCCACCCTCAGAGCCCACCCTCAGAGCCTACCCTCAGAGCCTACCCTCAGAGCCTACCCTCAGAGCCTACCCTCAGAGCCTACCCTCAGAGCCTACCCTCAGAGCCCACCCGCAGAGCCCACCCTCAGAGCCTACCCTCAGACCCCACCCTCAGAGCCCACCCTCAGAGCCTACCCTCAGAGCCCTCCCTCAGAGCCCACCCTCAGAGCCCACCCTCAGAGCCTACCCTCAGAGCCTACCCTCAGAGCCTACCTCAGAGCCTACCCTCAGAGCCCACCCTCAGAGCCTACCCTCAGACCCCACCCTCAGAGCCCACCCTCAGAGCCTACCCTCAGAGCTCTCCCTCAGAGCCTACCCTCAGAGCCCTCCCTCAGAGCCTACCCTCAGAGCCTACCCTCAGAGCCTACCCCCAGAGCCTACCCTCAGAGCCTACCCTCAGAGCCTACCCTCAGAGCCTACCCTCAGAGCCCACCCTCAGAGCCTACCCCCAGAGCCTACCCTCAGAGCCTACCCCCAGAGCCTACCCCCAGAGCCTACCCTCAGAGCCTACCCTCAGAGCCTACCCTCAGAGCCTACCCTCAGAGCCTACCCTCAGAGCCTACCCCCAGAGCCTACCCTCAGAGCCTACCCCCAGAGCCTACCCTCAGAGCCTACCCCCAGAGCCTACCCTCAGAGCCTACCCTCAGAGCCTACCCTCAGAGCCTACCCTCAGAGCCCTCCCTCAGAGCCTACCCTCAGAGCCTACCCCCAGAGCCTACCCTCAGAGCCTACCCTCAGAGCCTACCCCAGAGCCTACCCTCAGAGCCTACCCCCAGAGCCTACCCTCAGAGCCTACCCTCAGAGCCTACCCTCAGAGCCTACCCTCAGAGCCTACCCCAGAGCCTACCCTCAGAGCCTACCTCAGAGCCTACCCTCAGAGCCTACCCCAGAGCCTACCCTCAGAGCCTACCCTCAGAGCCTACCCTCAGAGCCTACCCTCAGAGCCTACCCCCAGAGCCTACCCTGGCCGGCTTGTTGCATTTCCCGCTTCCTCTCGCACCTGAAACATAAATTTGATATATATATATATATATATATATATATATATATATATATATATATATATATATATATATATATATATATATATATATATATATGGCACTAGGTCATAAACCTAGTGCCAAACCAGCAAGCCGAGCTGGGTCGCTTCATACAGGTATTTAGCCTAATTATGTCAGCTGACGTCGTCATCAACAGAGTACTCTTAAAGCATTATGTTAAAAATATATATATAGGAAATGTTAGAAATATTTCAACTCATTTCGCACATGAAAAGACATCAATTTAGTAGTGTTGTCCAGCAGCACACGAGGAGGTGCGGTGAGGGAGGCTGGGCGCACTGTCACTTGAAGGTGAAGGGACGACGATGTTTCGGTCCGTCCTGGACCATTCTCAAGTCGATTGACCATTCTGAATCGACTTGAGAATGGTCCAGGACGGACCGAAACGTCGTCTTCACCTTCTAGTGTGTGGTCTGGTCAACATACTTCAGCCACGTTATTGTGACTCATCACCTGCGCACTGTCACTTACTTGCAAGTGTCGGGGTTTATGGAGAGGTAGAATGGACATTTATTGTTGTGACACTCACACAAGCAGGTGTTGTGGTTCCAGATCTTGTCTTTTTTGTTCTTCGTGCACTTCTCGATCTTCCTCTGCAGGGCCGTGCTGAGGATAGACAGTCACCTGAGAACATACAGTTATTTCCTTCTCTCTCAAGAGAGAGAAAGATCGCCAAGCAAAATAAATGCAATATCGACTTTGTGAAGTATTAGTTTGATAATCCTGGTGAATGTTGCCGGTGTCCCCTCTCACTACATTAATGTAGATCTGGTCATTAGACCTCTCACACCTGCCGCTATCAGGTAACTGCAGGTTTGAAATTGCTTTATGCACTTCGATGTTCTCGAAGATATCTTCATAATACATCCCAAGTGTGTCAGTTCAACTACTGACCACATGCTCCTGCATGACTAACTATCCTATGTAATCGTACATATAGTCTAGCATGATATAGTCTACGTATAGTCCACGCTATGCGTGCTAGTGCCATTATAAGAATATAAGAACTTGTATATATAAATAAATAAATAAGAAAAACATCCTATACTCGGTTGACTAGTGTTTAACACAAGGCTTCAGCCTGTCTCTAAACATTTTGCATTTTTAAATTAAATATCCTTTTCACTATGATGAGAAACTCACGTTCCCCGTCCTTTCTTCTACAAAAGTTCTTCGTTCTTCGTTAAACAGTTATTTAACAGTCTCCGTGGTGTAGTGGTAAGACACTCGCCTGGCGTTCCGCGAACGCTTTGTCATGGGTTCGTATCCTGGCCGGGGAGGATTTACTGGGCGCAAATCCTTAACTGTAGCCTCTGTTTAACTCAACAGTAAAATGGGTACTTGGTTGTAACAACGATTCTTCGCGGCGGGGGATCGTATTCCAGGGACCATAGGATTAAGGACCTGCCCGAAACGCTACGCGTACTAGTGGCTCTACAAGAATGTAACAGCTCTTGTATATATCTAAAAAAAAAAAAAAATAACATGATGTATCAATGCACAGTAAGAGCCATGAGGGTGACTCGAATCTCGAGTCGGACTACCTGAATCGCGCTATCTGGATCGGATTACCTGGGATGATGGATTACCACTGGTAAATCGGCTGCCACATGTGTCGAAAAACCCGACACCATTTAATAACATTACATGCAATATGCAGATAATATTGTTGCTGTTGTATACACAAGTTAACCCATATAAAATGTAGCTTTTAGTGGAATTTTCCGTCAATAGAAAACGGGATATCATTGCCACATAGTACTATAAATTCACCAGCTATTCTGTTGGGAATTATTCTTAAATACATTATTCTTTGGACTTTTTACATCATAAAAACATCTCATTTGAGCTAACTTAATTATCAGTATCAAAATAAAGTAAATGTGACCCTTCTATCAGTTATTGACATCTGGACAAGGATAGCCAAGGCGTAGGTGGTGGTGAAGAAGTTCAGCCATTGTTAAGACCAGAGGCGCTGGGGAGCAAATTCAGCTCCTATAATTTCTCTTGGATGAAGTGTTATGGAGATCAACTTAAGTGTTCTACCATCATCAACACCCTGTCAATAACCACAAGGGAAGTGTCTTTCCGAAATCTTATCTAAGTCATTATTGGCCAGTAATGTAGGTAGATATGATTAATTCCGTTTAGGACACGAACGAGCCTCTAAATACAGGTAATTAAGCCTTGGTCCTTATGTTATATAATATACATGTTTTCTCTGATATAGCTGTCATATATTAGGATTCCGGCTTTACAGCTAGTGCCCTTTGACAGGAAGAAGAGGAAGCAAGAATTAATCTTGGTACATCAGTTACTTGGGTGTTGGAAGCTAGCCTCTCACGAGGATAATTTGGTATCTACATCTTAGTTATACCTGGTGGACTAAGCCTGCTGTACAATAAGATAAGGCACCTCCTCAATATATATACTAATATATGTAGTTTAATACTGTAGTTTGATTGGCTGCATATATATAAATTTAATATAAACCCCCCTAATGTGGAGGGATCGATTTGTGAAAATTATTGCAGAAATACAGTCCACTTAACATCATACCAATTGCTATCGAAATATATAAATTAACGTAAATATAAATTCTATATAAATTCATATAAATTAAATAAATATAAATCTCACTGGTCGGTTCCCACAACATGGCAGTCGACGTCGTTACAGGGTGTGGTGCAGCCGCAGGAACACGCCTCGTGAACCGGGACAGTTCTGAACTCCATCTCCTCCCAGTCCTCGTACACCGCAGTCACCTGGTCACAGGACACATGTATCACACTCCTCACTTAACTCTCAAATGTCTCACAAGAAACTTGTTTTTTGGGGCTGAAATGTAAAAGGCTTCAAGATCTAATGTTGTCATTATGGTTGTAAGCAATTATAGTAGAATATAGTGGTGTAGTGTAAGGTGTAGTGGTGTGGTGTAAGGTGTAGTGGTGTGGTGTAGTGGCGTGGTGTAAGGTGTAGTGGTGTGGTGTAGTGGTGAGGAGTCCGCGGAGGACGTCAGCGACTGCTGTGTTAAACAGCGTGGTCAGGAACCAATACTAGGGTCAACAATACCCTCATATGTACTACCTTACCAAAATAATCAAATTTATTCTTATCATTTCTATGTAAAATATAATTAATAATGCTAGTTTAAAAGCTTCATTTATAAATTATTCAATATTGTTGACAATGGGGAACCCCAATAATTGTAACAGACTTCCTCTCCTCAACAATGAGGAGAGGAAGCTCATAATAGGGACTATAGAGGACCCAGAACAGATCCTTGGGGAACTACACAAGTTCCCACTTCGGATTTAACCCCATAAATGCCTCCTCTCTCTTCCCTGTGTTTCAGCCCCGGTCCACTTTAGTATGTTGCCCCCGATGCCATGGGCCTCAGTATTGCCAAGTATACCTGTAATCACTATTTCCAAAAGTTGCCTTCTTCTTCAATAGTTGTATAGATATGTTGAAGATATTTTGTGTTTAAGGCCTACTTCTGAAATATTCGATCATTTCTCAAGTAGAATTGACAATTATAATGTATTTAATGGCTTTCCATGGAGGTTTTGAACGTCAAGTCGGCAGTGTAGCTCAGCTCATGGACCCCTAGATCCATGGCTCCTTTCATGATCCACACACACACAGAGAGGTCGACCATACAGGAACAACCGTGGACATCTTCAAGAGGAAACTAGATTGTTTCCTTCAAGGAGTGCCAGACCAACCGAGCTGTGGTGGGTATGTGGGCCTGCGGGCCGCTCCAAGCACCAGCCTGGTGGACCAAACTCTCACAAGTCAAGTCTGGCCCTGGCCAGTCTGACCCCGGACCGGGCTTGGGGAGTAGAAGAACTCCCAGAACCCCATCAACCAGGTATCAACCAGGTATGCTGCTCTCTCGTGCAGCTGATGGATAATAATGCAGTGGCGTCCGGCAGTGTTAAGACAGCAGTTGTTGTGTTGGATTGAGCTTTGCTCTTTCAGCCCGCCTCTCAACTGTCAATCGACTGTTTACTAACTTTTTTTTTCTCCACACCACACACACACACCCCAGGAAGCAGCCTGCGACAGCTGACTAACTCCCAGATACCTATTTACTGCCAGTTAACAGAGGCACTCAGGGTGAAAGAAACTTTGCCCATTTGTTTCTGCCTGGTGCGGGAATACTTTCTGCTTGTGTTCGGCCATAACGTGTAGTGATTTAGTGTTAGATAGTGTTCAGTCATTGCAGCCCCCATGGTGTAGTGGTTAAGATGCTCGGCTGGCGTTCTGCGAGCGCTTTGTCCTGGGTTCGTATCCTGGCCGGGGAGGATTTACTGGGCGCAAATCCTTAACAGTAGCCTCTGTTTAACTCAACAGTAAAATGGGTACCGTCCAAGTGGTTGGGCACCATTCCGTCCCCTGTCCCATCCCAAATCCTTATTATGACCCTTTCCAAGTGCTATATAGTCGTGATGGCTTGGCGCTTTCCCCCTGATAGTTCCCTTCCTTTCCCTTGTGTCCATTGTCTGAATACGTCACATATAGTGAGGTCTAAAGCTGAGTTACGCTTACCTGGTCCGTCGACCAGGAGGCCTGGTCGACGACCGGGCCGCGGGGACGCTAAGCCCCGGAAGCACCTCAAGGTAAGGTAAGGTACCTTGATCCCTCTACACTCTTTCCTAGCCCAAATTACTTGGGTCAGGAAAGGTTGATCATATTTGCTATTTATATAATATACAAGAAGACGGTGAAGAAGAGGGTGTTTGTTAAGCATACCGTGATGGTCCTGGTGGTGAACCTGGTGGCCACGCACTGGTCAGAGGGACAGGAGCCGCTGCAGACGGACGTCGTCACGGTGCAGGGGTTGATGTGCTCGGCGCCCCTCTTGTCTACCTCTATGGTAGTGTTCCTTAGCTCGCACGTTCCTCCCCTCTTCGTCTTCTTCTTCTCCTCTATGGACACTCAAGATAATAATATTCTTGGCATGCATGGTGAAGAATACTTGCATGGTGAATATACTATCAGTGATAGTATAACTAGTGGTATGCTAGTGACACCTGTTAGTAACAACAACCTAACCTCACCTAATCTAACCTCACCCAACCTAACCTAACCTAATCTAACCTCACCCAACCTAACCTAACCTAACCTAACCTAATCTAACTTCACCCAACCTAACCTAATCCAGATTAAAACAACAGGTAATATATCAATGGTCAACACGTATTATTTTACTAAAATTTATGAACATTATTTAGGAAGAGTGTATCAAAAAGGCGTTGTGTATAATTTACTTAAATGTAGAATATACACAATTGAAACATCTAAGAGACCCTAGAGCCGCCAGCGTCCTCTTCCAGCGTCCTCTTCCAGCGTCTTAGTGTGGCGATACAGAGAGGAAACACATTTCATCCATGGTTCCTGCCCGCCATCTGAGGAGCTGAAGGAACTCGACAACCTGTGACAACTAGCCTTGTACCTTGCATGTAACCAATGTTGTAACTCATTTTGTGTAATGAAATTTAAATAAAATAATAAATTACAAATATATAGGTGATAGTAGAAAACAATATGTGAGCATCAGTGGGAGCCCCACAAGGCTTCCCCTGATGCAACTGATCCCTAAAGACATAACACAGACCATATACACTGACGGATCACTCAGTACAGCTACAGGGAGGGCAGGAAGTGCTGTTATTGCTCATCAGCCCGACGGCAGCACAATTCAACAATACCAAAGGAATATAAGAATTAGTAACTGGTCATCCACAATGTAAGCTAAGTTGGTAGCAATACTGGTAGCACTCGAAATTATTGACAACACTGAACATAAGAACATAAGAACAAAGGTAACTGCAGAAGGCCTATTGGCCCTTACGAGGCAGCTCCTATCTATAACCACTCAATCCCACTCATATACTTGTCCAACCCGCGCTTGAAATAATCGAGGGACCCCACCTCCACCACGTTACGCGGCAATTGGTTCCACAAATCAACAACCCTGTTACTGAACCAGTATTTACCCAAGTCTTTCCTAAATCTAAACTTATCAGTTTAGACAGCTGTCTTTAGAAGTAGACAGCTTAATTATTTCCGACTCCCTTTTCTCACTACTAGCAATAAACAGTTTGCAATCAAGTAATAGCGTGCTTGTCTCAGAAGCCTGACATAGATATATAAGTATACTTAACAAGAGGGTAAATATAAAAATGTTGTGGATTCCTTCTCACATTGGCCTGCAGGAACATGACAAAGTTGACGCCCTTGCTAAGGCTGCAGTAAATATAGACAGTATTGAACGGAATCTTGAGTTATCAAATAGGTCCCTTAAAAGTGTCATTAGACGAGAACTCCTGGATGGATTTGAAAAAAATAGAGCAATGCAAACTGGAATTAGCAGGTCCATTGTTTATCACAATGAAATGTGTGAAGTAAAACATGTGTATGGGGCAAGTAACAAAGTCAGTAGACTAACAGATGTTGTCACAACTCGAATAGGACTTTGCTACAAGTATCTCTGGCAGTTCGGCTTGTATAGGGATCTAGATGAAGTAAAGTGTAAAGTGTGTGGACAAAGACAGGGACACACACTCGAACACTATATCTTGGACTGTAGTAAAATTGAGCCATTTAGAGATAAATCTAAGCTCATTCTGTATGATATGGCAACCTATCTTATTACCATGGATAAATTACCTGAAATCCTTGCACTGTACCCACATTTCGCTTCCAGTAGATAAACGACAAATGATATTAAGAAACAAGTAGTGTATTGTGAAGGCTAATAATAAACAGAAGCTCCCCTATGACTGTAATATCCCCATTGGTCAAACAAGTATGTTTTAGCGATAAGACCTACCATTAATGTATAATGACTTACTGTAAATAGATAGCTCTTGAAATAGCACTTTCTCTGTAACTAGCTGACATTGTAACTATAAAGTGTGAAGGATAGATAAAATTGTTTATATAATAATCTAAGATTTTGTGCCCTATGTAATGGTTTTTGCGCTACCGCTCACAGGATAAGTATGGGGTGCACAATAAACTAACACACTCAGAACCCTTCTTCAACCCGGGGGTGCCTACACACACAGCCAAAGGCGGGACCCACAACCCTACCAAGTCCACCAGGGAGGTTCTCCAATATGTAGGGCCCAATTTGGCTAGCAATCATGGTGATTTTCATTAGTTTCAAATATTTTTTTCCAAATTGGGTTATTCTAGTTAATATTATATTAAATGCATGAATTACTGACTTATTTTGGTTAGGTTAATATGTGTAGTGGAAAGATATATAATTACTTTTCTTATTTTTAAACTGTTTCTTATTACCAGCGGTTTGGAGGTCTCTGAAGAGGCTCTCGAAGTCATTGTGGTCCTGCTCGGAGATATCCGGGCCATAGCCATAGTTAGATGGATCATAGTCATCATCAGTGTCTCCGTAATACTCATCTCTAGACCCGTCATCATTGCCAAACGTGTTGTGGGATGGTTGGCGGTGTTGTTTGAGCCATTGTAGGTATATGTGGGTGGAGGCGTAGTTTGTGTCACCAGCAGCAGCAGCACTAGCAGCAGCACCAGCAGCAGCACCAGCAGCAGTAACAACAATTAGAGCCGTCACCACCACCACTCCTCCGCCCTCACACCTGTTGTATACAACATACTCTTTTTACTCCTCAAGTTAATAAACTCTGAACATTATAGATCTGCAAGAACTATGCCTTTATTGTTGACCAGATCACACACTAGAAGGTGAAGGGACGACCTTCACTAGAAGGTGAAGGGACGACCTTCACTAGAAGGTGAAGGGACGACCTTCACTAGAAGGTGAAGGGAAGTAATAATAATAATACTTTAGCCACGTTATTGTGACTCATCGCCTGCAACTATGCCTTTATATATAGATGTGTCAATTAATGTACTCACAAACACAAGTACTCACAAGCAACAAGTACTCACAAGCAACAAGTTTCTTGTTTCATACAAGAAACTTTACATTTGGTCCTTTATTGTCACCACAAAAGTTGGTACTGGACAGCAGGTCCCACTATGGGAGGCCAGTTATGTTGAACACAACCAACTGAGGACCAGGAGTCATCAGTCATTTACACAACCACGTACGAAACCTGTGCATCTTTCCTCTGTCATGGTGGCTTTAATTGACGGTGCAGTCTCCGTGGTGTAGTGGTAAGACACTCGCCTGGCGTTCCGCGAGCGCTATGTCATGGGTTCGTATCCTGGCCGGGGAGGATTTACTGGGAGCAATTCCTTAACTGTAGCCTCTGTTTAACGCAACAGTAAAATGTGTACTTGGATGAAAAAACGATTCTTCGCGGCGGGGATCGTATTCCAGGGACCTGCCCGAAACGCTACGCGTATTAGTGGCTCTACAAGAATGTAACAACTCTTGTATATATCTCAAAAAAAAAAAAAAAAAAAAAAAATTACATTTACTACACTTTTTGGCCTCCGAAGCACTATGTGATTGTATATAACAATAATACACTCTGATTGTCAAGTTTCCAACTCGTAAACTGTTTAATAAATGTAAACAAAGCCGCCATGATACAGATAATAATAATAATAATGCTCAATGAAATGACATTAACGTGATGTATCAATGAGAAAATAATTACGAACCGTTATCTTGAGATGATTTCGGGGCTTAGCGTCCCCGCGGCCCGGTCCTCGACCAGGCCTCCTTTTTGTTTCCGCTGCTTCCTCCCCAGGAAGCAGCCCGTAGCAGCTAACTCCCAAGTACCTTTTTACTGCTAGGTAACAGGGGCATCAGGGTGAAAAAAACTTTTTTGCCTATTTGTCTCCGCCTCCACCGGGGATCGAACCTGGAACCTCAGGATTACGAATCCGAAGCGCTGTCCACTCAGCTGTCGGCCCTGAGGTGTCTTCCACCCTGCACACTTGGTACTCCCAAGCGAGCACCAGAGACCACCACGCCACGACATGGTAAAAGTAATGTAACCTGGGGTTCCACAGAATCCTTTATTGGGGCAAATGCGTAAAACTCTGTTTAGGCTTCAGTTGGAAGCCTCAGGACCCCTAGAGTATTCAGTAGAATTCTAGGTTGCATTGTTTTTACCATGTCGTAGCGTGGTGGTCTAGCTAGGGCGTTTGCTTGGGAGTACCAAGTGAGCGGGTTCGAATCCTCCTGTTGGCTCCAACTAATGTTCTCACTAAATATAATAATAACAATAATACACGGGCCCAGGACTGGTCCTTGAGGCACTCCAGTTTCCACGACTACCCATTACTAAGCGCTACAATATAGTTGTACATGTTGGAACTCAATTCAATTCAATTCTTACTTTATTATGCAACCCGATAAGCAATTACTGCTTGGCGCTAGAGGTGGTGGCCAGCCTTACCTGCCAGCAGGAAGCTTCATCCCGTGTGACACAGAGGCCGCTGCTCCTCTCACAACCGTCCTCCGGCACTGAAACTTTCCCTTCAACTACGTGACAAAATACTCGGCTCCACTTTATAGTGGATTCTTCCTGCGTGCGCGGACGCCGCGGCCAGCGTCCTGGTGGGCTGCGGCCGCCACTTCCTGGCGGCCTGCGCGCCATACCTGTCTTACACACTTGCGAACTCGCACCAATGGTATTTTTTTAAGCTTTGCCCCGAAGGGCGAGTTTATTGGGAGCGTCACTCATCCTGTGAGTGGACACACCGTCATAGTGACAGTATTGGGTAGCGTCACTCATCCTGTGAGTGAACACACTGTCATAGTGACAGTATTGGGTAGCGCCACTCATGCTGTGAGTGGACACACCACCATAGTGACAGTATTGGGCAGCGCCACTCATCCTGTGAGTGGACACACCGCCATAGTGACAGTATTGGGTAGCGTCACTCATCCTGTGAGTGGACACACCGCCATAGCAGCATGTACAACACTCCCCAACAGGAAGAAAACCCGCTGGGTTGTTCATCCTGTCACTTGTACCCAGACACAGCTGGGACTTGCTTAACTGTCTCAAGTGAACAACTTATCAAACAAGATGATTAACATCTGTCAACCCTTAAAATCTTACGTTATCTTGTGGGTGCAAAATGGGGGAATCTTTTTAGAACAACATTTATACTTGACATATAGTATTTTCCTAACTCAACCAATGGTGTATGGTGTAACGAATTATCTATTACACTGTGTGCTCACTCATAATGTACAAATTTCGATGTGTAATGTATGTGTTGTGTACACAAACGTATTTTTGTATACAAAAAACGTAAGTGTCTACAGTTCTCCTCGGTTGTCAGATGTCTCATTAACTTTATAGCGTCTGGAAACATTGACGTGTGCGAGCTCATTCCCTCGTGTAGGTCAGTCACATAAATTAGTAAGAGTAAGGGTTCCAGGACCGCCCTCATGAAGCTCCACGTGTTACCGTCCTCATCTTTCACTGTGACTGTTTTCTGCCCATTATAAAGTTCCTAAACCTCTTCCTTGTCTTTCCAGTTGTCCGCGCGTGCTTCTTCATCCTTTCATGTGGAACAGCATCACATTTTTTTGACACTCTAGGGAAATACAATCTGCCCAGTCTTCTTTTTCCTGCCTAATTTGAGTAACTTTGTCATAGAAGACGATTAAGGTTGTCAAGGAGGGATCTTCCCTTCTAACATTATGTTCCCCATTTGTTAAAAAGAGTCTATTTCCCCCACGTGTTCAGTTATTCTCAGCCTGATTACCTTTTCCGACGCTGTACTTATAATAATGGCCAGCAACACTGGTCTGTAATTTAGTGCCTCCTGTCTGTCACTTTTTTAATATTTGGTACTACGGTTATCTTTTTTCAAAATTCTGGGAAATTTCCAGTCTCAATATATATATATTGAAACCTTTAGTTAATGGGGAACAAATACCCCGTACAGCCTCCGTCAGCAGCTAATTGTGAGATTATTTTTTATTAGTTTATTTATATATCCAAGAGTTCTTACATTACCGTACAGCCACCAGCACACACAGCGTTTCAGGCAGGTCCTTAACCTTAATTTTCCCTGGAATACGACCCGCCAAATCGTTTAACAACCAGGTACCCATTCACTGCTGAGTGAACAAGGGTTACAGTTAAGGATGGGCGCCTAGTCAATCCTGGCCGGGGAGGATTGATTAGCCCCGGGCCAAATCGATCGCGAAGCGAGGGGTGAGTGTTTTACCACTGCGCCACGGGGACTGCAAACAACCATTATGTTTGGTCCCATCAATTTGTTTCCATTTCGTTCTTCATGTGTTGTTTACCTCTCCTACAGTGATTACAATGTCACTCATTGTTTTTCCCTGCCTTTCATCCCACAACTTTGGTCACCATGGTGGTGGTGCTATTGTAAAGACCTTCTGAAATCTTTTGTTGTTCCTCACATATCTCCTTATTGTTTTCTGTAAGAATTCCCCAGGTCTTCTCAATCTAAATACATAGTCTCTCACTGGTTTTTTCTTATGTTTATAGAACAATGTTGGTTGGCTCTTAGTTTTTACCACAAGTTACTTTCAATTTGCCTCTCAACTTTTTTCTTGACTCAGATTTCTGATTCTCTTTCGTCTCTTATTGTGCTAGTTCTCTGTACTTTTTCCAGGCTTTTTTGGTCCTTTAGCTTCCCTACATTGCCTATTGAACCAAGGGTTGACTTTGCTCGTCCACCGTCTTCTTGAGTGTTGTAAACTGCTCCGTTACATCGGCACATTTCCCAGCAATGCACTAAATGTACCTTCTCATTTCCCGTGTTCACTTCCATTTTCTTTTCCCCCATTGGATTTCACACAGAAAGTCCCTCATCTCACGGTAATCTCCTCGTCTGTTCTCTCTCATCTCCTTGATCAGCTTTATTTGTCTAACCCGCGTCTTTAGCTCCACTACATACTCCACCACGATAATACAGGGGTCGCTCGGCCTTAGAGGCATCTTCTACTTGGTTTTCAACATCTGCTTCATTTGGGAAAACACAGCGGGTGTTGCGTTGCTTGTGGCTCCTCTCCTCTTACTCTTGTTGGTTCTGTAATAAGTTGTTTAAAACCTGTTTGACCACCTTAATTGCCAGTTTTTCTTTCCATGTCTCATCAACCCCGTGGTGGGGTGGGGGTCCTTATCTCTATTCCTTTGTGGTTAAAATCTCCTAGCTCTGCTCCTCTTACCTTTCAGGGGGCAGATTCACAATGAAGTTACGCAAGCACTTACGAATGTGTACATCTTTCCTCAATCTTTGACGGCTTTGGTTACATTTACTAAACAGTTTACAAGCATGAAAACTTCCCAATCAACTGCTGTTATTGTTATAAACAGCCTCCTGGTGCTTCGGAACTCATTAACTGTTTAATAATTGTAAACAAACCCGCCAAAGATTGAGAAAAGATGTACAGGTTCGTAAGTGCTTGCGTAACTGCTTCGTGAATCTGGCCCCTGGCTACTTTGTCCATTACCTTAGGCAAGTCTCGTTGCACTTGTATATTTCTCTAGGCTTACTGTTGTCTGGGGGTGAGGGGGGGGTTGTATATCACCACTACCGCTCTCTGCACGTCTCCCATTGTTGCTGTTAATGGTGTGTGCTCTGGCTGCCCCGATTTTGTGTGCATTGTTGTGTGTAGATAGTGTGTGTGTGTGTACATACTCCAGGTAGTGTGTGTGTGTGTACATACTCCAGGTAGTGTGTGTGTGTACCTACGCCAGGTAGTGTGTACAGTGTGTGTGTGTGTACATACCCCAGGTAGTGTGTGTGTGTACATACGCCAGGTAGTGTGTACAGTGTGTGTGTGTGTACATACCCCAGGTAGTGTGTGTGTGTACATACGCCAGGTAGTGTGTACAGTGTGTGTGTGTGTACATACCCCAGGTAGTGTGTGTGTATGTACCTACGCCAGGTAGTGTGTACAGGGTGTGTGTGTGTACATACCCCAGGTAGTGTGTGTGTGTACCTACGCCAGGTAGTGTGTGTGTGTACCTACCCCAGGTAGTATGTACATAGTGTGTGTGTGTGTACATACCCCAGGTAGTGTGTGTGTGTGTACATACGCCAGGTAGTGTGTGTGTGTGTACATACCCCAGGTAGTGTGTGTGTGTGTACCTACGCCAGGTAGTGTGTACATAGTGTGTGTGTAATATCCTCGGCACACACACTGTGCCTGGTCTTCCTGGTGGGAAGCACTGTTATCCTCCAGAGTAAAAACCGCCTCACCAATCTATCAACTCGTTACCTGATTATTTCAAATGTTGGCCGCCGTATCCCCTCACAAAATATCAACATAAAACTCTTCAGTTTTTATGCTTACAAAGAGAGCCAGTAAATGAGACACGGAGCACGCAGATTACAACAGTTATTTTTTTCCATACTCATCCCTGATTTGTCACCAGGTGCGTCCTGTGGTCCAGAGTGACGCCACTATGGCACCAGGGGCGTCCTGTGGTCCAGAGTGACGCCACTATGACACCAGGGGCGTCCTGTGGTCCAGAGTGACGCCACTATGACACCAGGGGCGTCCTGTGGTCCAGAGTGACGCCACTATGGCACCAGGGGCGTCCTGTGGTCCAGGGACGCCACTATGACACCAGGGGCGTCCTGTGGTCCAGAGTGACGCCACTATGGCACCAGGGGCGTCCTGTGGTCCAGAGTGACGCCACTATGGCACCAGGTGCGTCCTGTGGTCCAGAGTGACGCCACTATGACACCAGGTGAGTCCTGTGGTCCAGAGTGACGCCACTATGGCACCAGGTGCGTCCTGTGGTCCAGAGTGACGCCACTATGACACCAGGGGCGTCCTGTGGTCCAGAGTGACGCCACTATGGCACCAGGGGCGTCCTGTGGTCCAGAGTGACACCACCATAACCCCAGGGGCGTCCTGTGGTCCAGAGTGACGCCACTATGACACCAGGGGCGTCCTGTGGTCCAGAGTGACGCCACTATGACACCAGGGGCGTCCTGTGGTCCAGAGTGACGCCACTATGGCACCAGGGGCGTCCTGTGGTCCAGAGTGACGCCACTATGACACCAGGGGCATCCTATGGTCCAGAGTGACGCCACTATGACACCAGGGGCGTCCTGTGGTCCAGAGTGACGCCACTATGACACCAGGTGCGTCCTGTGGTCCAGAGTGACGCCACTATGGCACCAGGTGCGTCCTGTGGTCCAGAGTGACGCCACTATGACACCAGGTGAGTCCTGTGGTCCAGAGTGACGCCACTATGGCACCAGGTGCGTCCTGTGGTCCAGAGTGACGCCACTATGACACCAGGGGCGTCCTGTGGTCCAGAGTGACGCCACTATGGCACCAGGGGCGTCCTGTGGTCCAGAGTGACACCACCATAACCCCAGGGGCGTCCTGTGGTCCAGAGTGACGCCACTATGACACCAGGGGCGTCCTGTGGTCCAGAGTGACGCCACTATGACACCAGGGGCGTCCTGTGGTCCAGAGTGACGCCACTATGGCACCAGGGGCGTCCTGTGGTCCAGAGTGACGCCACTATGACACCAGGGGCGTCCTGTGGTCCAGAGT